CAGATATGTATGTTTTTATATTTGCTAGTGTTTATGGTAACCTTTTATTACTTTTGCAACTTAAGGAAATAAATACATTTAATTCATATGAAAAAATGCTCAACATCCCTCATTGTAAGGGAAACGCAGATCAAAACAACAATGAGATACCACCTACCCCAGTCAGAATGACTAAAATTAATAAAACAAAAATCGATAAGTGCTAGCAGAGATGTGGTGAGGGGGAACTCTCCTACACTGCTGATGGGAATGTAAATTGGTCCAACCACTGTGGAGAACAATCTGGAGATTCCTCAAAAATCTACAAATAGAACTACCATATGATCCAGCAATCCCACTCCTTGGTATCTACCCAAAGGACAGAAGAATACTTAATCAGAAAGTGCTTGCACATCAATGTTTACTGTGGCACTATTCGCAATTGCTAAGTCATGGAAACAACTCAAATGCCCATGAACAGATGAATGGATAGAAAAACTGTGGCACATATACTCAATGGAATACTATTCAGCCCTTAAAAACAACAAAACCCTGGCTTTTGACAGAAAGTGGAAGAATATGGAAGATTTATTGCTGAGTGAAGCAAGCTGGCTATGAAGGAGAGTCATAGTATGTCCCCACTTAATATATACCGAGTGTCCACATTCTGTGACTGAAACTAATTGACTAAAGGATATAGAAACATAGTACATAGATGTAAATACCACATATAGTGTGTGCATGAAAAAGAAGGTCTGGGAAAGGGCATTTAGAAGAAAAATAGGGAGGCAAAGCGTTAATGGCACAAAGAAATGTGGTATTATCTGTTGGAGATATTTCGTAGTTTTATCAACTATGCTAGGGAGAAATGTTCACCTGTTGAAATATCTATTTTGTAAGCCAAATAATAATGTAATTGAATGTATAAAAGAAAATGAAATTTAAAAAAAAGATATTCTTAGGGCCAGCAGATGGAATGCTGGTTAAGGCTCTGGCCCATCCCCCGCCACCCCTCTCCCCCGCTGCCATGACTGAGTCTGTGGTTTGAGTTCCCACTTTGTGGCTTGAAAAATACACTGGGTGCGTGTGTGTGCCCAAAATCCTGAGAGGAGAATGAAAGAGAAGGGATTGCAGCATGGCCATCCTCTCCCGCCAGGGGGGGTGATTTCTTACTTTTCTTCTCTCTGCCTCTCTCTGTCTCTCTCTCTCTCCCGTGAGTACACATGCCCTATGACAAACCATCCCCCCTCCAAAAATAAGACACCATTCTTCTTCAGAAGCTTAGTGTAGTTCGAATCAGGTGTTCCAATAACAGGTGAATTATACTGCAATGTTGGCATCGGGAAAGCAGGATGTTACTAAAGATCAATCATTTAGCTCAGCAAATATTGGTGAAAGAATTACTGAAACCATGCCATGGAAATGCTGACTCTTGCTCTTGTGTTATAGCGAGGGTCTGGCTTTCTTCATATTAGCATAAAGAGATTACAACAAATACTAAGAAAATCAGGAAATAAGTCAGCTCACTGCTGGGATGAGCAAAAAAAAAGTTTTACATTAAGATGATATTAAGCAAAATTACTTCTGCAAAGTGCCATATTTACTTTTCATCTTATAATGAAACAAAAATGTGGATTACACTGATTATAAACTGAGGGGAATATTAGGTGTGTGACTCATTTTCTCCCTAACCATTTTACCTTTGCACGGAAAAAAATTCTCACCGCAAAGGTGCAATTTATTTATTTATATCCCTCTAGCGGCTTTTTATTTGTATGTTTGCTTGACGAAGTGAGGCCAGGGACTCTGGACTGTGCAGGAAGAGTCCAGAAATATGTTTCTGCATAATTGGGAGGAACAGTCTCATCTTGACCCTTACTCTTTATTTTTTTTTTTGAAGAGGTTTTTGCCACAGGATATGTGCATTCATCAGTGAGAGGAAAAGGCAGACAGTGAGAGGGAAAGTGAGAAATCACCCCGGGGGGATGGTCACATTGCAATCCCTTCTCCTCCATTCTCCTCCTAGGATCTTGGGCATACATGTACATGCACCTGGTATGATTATTCAAGGCGTCAGGTCCGGGACTTGAACCCCAGTTGACCATGTGGGAGATCCTCTCCCGCCAGGGGGGGTGATTTCTTACTTTTCTTCTCTCTGCCTCTCTCTGTCTCTCTCTCTCTCCCGTGAGTACACATGCCCTATGACAAACCATCCCCCCTCCAAAAATAAGACACCATTCTTCTTCAGAAGCTTAGTGTAGTTCGAATCAGGTGTTCCAATAACAGGTGAATTATACTGCAATGTTGGCATCGGGAAAGCAGGATGTTACTAAAGATCAATCATTTAGCTCAGCAAATATTGGTGAAAGAATTACTGAAACCATGCCATGGAAACGCTGACTCTTGCTCTTGTGTTATAGCGAGGGTCTGGCTTTCTTCATATTAGCATAAAGAGATTACAACAAATACTAAGAAAATCAGGAAATAAGTCAGCTCACTGCTGGGATGAGCAAAAAAAAAGTTTTACATTAAGATGATATTAAGCAAAATTACTTCTGCAAAGTGCCATATTTACTTTTCATCTTATAATGAAACAAAAATGTGGATTACACTGATTATAAACTGAGGGGAATATTAGGTGTGTGACTCATTTTCTCCCTAACCATTTTACCTTTGCACGGAAAAAAATTCTCACCGCAAAGGTGCAATTTATTTATTTATATCCCTCTAGCGGCTTTTTATTTGTATGTTTGCTTGACGAAGTGAGGCCAGGGACTCTGGACTGTGCAGGAAGAGTCCAGAAATATGTTTCTGCATAATTGGGAGGAACAGTCTCATCTTGACCCTTACTCTTTATTTTTTTTTTTGAAGAGGTTTTTGCCACAGGATATGTGCATTCATCAGTGAGAGGAAAAGGCAGACAGTGAGAGGGAAAGTGAGAAATCACCCCGGGGGGATGGTCACATTGCAATCCCTTCTCCTCCATTCTCCTCCTAGGATCTTGGGCATACATGTACATGCACCTGGTATGATTATTCAAGGCGTCAGGTCCGGGACTTGAACCCCAGTTGACCATGTGGGAGTCCAGCGACATAACCACTACACCACTTGCTGTCCTTTACCCTTCCTCCTTCATCTGAAGGCCCAGTGTGGGTGGCTGTGTCTATTGATCATTTCAAGTTTGGCTAGGACAAATGACGAAGTAAGATACTAACCAGACTTTTGAACACACGGAACAGTATTTTTTACAAAATGATAATAATGAGTACATATTGATATTATTTTTGATATATTGACTTAAACTATGTTATTAAACCTAATTTCACTTTTTTCCACTTGTTTCTTTTTCATCCTTTCTTTTTTTTTTTAAAAAAAAAAATGACTGCTAGAAAATTTAGAACAAAACACATGGCTGGGGTATTTCTATTGGAAAATGTTCACTTCAAGGACAGAGCAGGGCTGTGATCCGCAGAACCGGCTTGGTCGGTCCTGGCTGTGTGACCCTGGACAAATACCTTAACCTCTCTTAGTCTCAGTTTTATGCTCTGGATTTGGGAGCAAGACAAAACACCGTCGGGTGTGCACAGTTCTTAGTGTAGAGTCTTGGGCGCTCTTTAGTGAGATGGTTATACGAGTACTTCATAAATAACTGCTGTTGTAATTCTCAACTGGCTGCAGTTGAAGGACGACGCCTCCACAGCAGTTCACACCCGGGAGTCCCAATCCCCTCCACAAGCCTGGGCACATGGTCTCCATTGCAGGAGCCAATTTTTAAGCTGGAAGAAACTCGCAACCCAGCGGTGGGGAGAGGCTGCCCCCTGGCGGAGCGAGGAGGAAGGACGCGGAGGCGCTGGAGGGGGCTCACGCGCCAGGTGCCCGGCGCCAGGCGCCCCGTCCCGGGGCG